GTTTTTTGGGCTGAAATATCTCTATGAAGCCCAAACAGAATTTTAACTTTTATTAGTGCTCTAGAATCGATTAACTGTCCTCTATCTAATGCTGAAACTCCCAGGTCTGTAGCTTGTTCCTAAACCAAATGGCAAAGACATCTTTGGAGCCTACTCTCGAAATTTTCCCAATTTTGCACCCACCCTCGGATAAAAATATGGAATTAACAAAATCTGTCCTATAGTGGAACTTCATTAGCACACCTAGCTCTATCATTCCTAGTGGTTTCATCAAATTATGTTGGATAGAAAAAATTCAGGACTCAAAGGGTTAAAGTACAAAGTACGGTGTTTCTCCCTTGGGATTACCTCGAATAGGCCTTGAAGAGATATTAAGAGTGCCCCTAGATAGCCCTTGAAGAAATATCAACACTACTCCTGGATAAGCCCTGAAGAGATATCAATAGTGCTCCTACATTGTCCTTGAAGAGTTATGAAGACTACCTGCGGATGGCCCTTGAAGAGTTACAAAGACTATCCCAAGATAGGCCTGAAAGAGTTATGAAGATTACCTCGAGATAGGCCTTGAAAAGATATTAAGAATACTCCTAGATTACCCTTGAAGAAATATGAACACTACCCCTGGATAGGTCTTGAAGAGTCATAGAGACTGTCACTTGATAGCGCTTGAGCAAATGTGGAGAGTACTCTAGACAACCCTTAAAGAGTTATAGAGAGTACCGCTAAATATGCCTTGAACTATATAAGTACATTAAAGTACTTTAAAGTACAAAGTACGGTGTTTCCTCCTTGAACACACCTCTGCGGTTATGTAATTGTAGAAATTTTTGCCCTACCTATTTCTGTCTTCGCTTAAGCACTGTTTACATTGGAAACGAACATAAGCTTTTCCCATCCATGGCCATGACAAGTGCATTTGGGTAACTTCTAAGGAAGCAAACTAAATTAAATACTTATTATCCCAGCCAACCTGGCTGGAAATGCAAACTGTTTCCGATTTGTGGGCAGGTAGATGACAATTGTTACTCTTTTAAGCTTACTGAAGATCGTACTCAGTAACTATATCAATACAATTGAAATGGTTCATTCTTGAAGCAAGCTTTCTCTTTTTTCTTCTCAGGTGTTCTAACGAATTCCGTGGCCGATTTAACTGTGGGTCTTCTAATTGCAACAGCACGTCGATTTTGCGAATCAATAGAAGCGGTCAAAGTAAAAGATTCTTTTTCGCTTTCTTTAGAACGAGAAATTCTAAAACCTAACCTATTTCATAAATATTTTTGGTTTTTCTTCTTCTAAAGAATGGTGAATGGAATAAATGGGGTCTGTTATGGATGTGTGGGAAAGGCATGTCAGATTCGACTATTGGAATCGTCGGGCTTGGTCGCATAGGACTAGCAATTGCTCGTCGTCTACAATCAATGGCTATTAAAAAAATTCTCTATTCGGGTACTCGGAAAAAACAATTTGATAGCGATGAAGATAAACAACTTTTTTCATTTGTTCCATTCGATCAACTTCTAGAAGAATCTGACTTTGTTATTATTTCTTGTTCATTGAATTCGCAAACTAAAAACATGTTCGATTCTTGTGCCTTTAAGAAAATGAAAAAAGATGCCATTTTAATTAATGTATCACGTGGAGAAATTGTTGATCAAGATGCTTTGTATGATGCGTTAACGACTGGGAAAATTGCTGCTGCAGGTAATAGCAATATATAGTGATACTCAAGACCAGTGTTGCCAGATGCTAAACTTGAAAATCCGGAATTCCAACTTCAAACCCCGGAAAATTCCGGAATTTTTTTCTGAAGTCTGGAAAAAATCCAGAAAGATTTTTTAGGGTCGGTTTTGATTGTTCAAAATGCATTTTTCTTCATCAGATAATCAATAATCTTATTCTTTATCTTCATAAAATATATTTGAATGGAACAATAGAAAATAAAACACACATCAAGTGTGTTCAATTAGAATTTTAAATTCTTTGAACCATTCAGATTTAACTATTCCTTTTTTTTCTCTTGTTGATCTTTTTGTCTTATGTTAATTTCAGATGATGTTAGTTGTGCTCTTAGTGATAGATCATTTTCTACTAAAATTTCTGCTTCTTCGTTTTGATCCAGGGCTGCCATATCTCAATTTTCAAATGGGGTTTTCAGAATTTCAAATGGGGTTTTCAGAATTTCAAATGGGGTTTTCAGAATTTCAAATGGAGTGCAATTGGGGTACAGTTCCTCTCAAAATGAGGTACTTTGTTGAGGTATGTAGTTTTTCCTTCAAAATAGACTGATTAGCTGCGAAAACTGCTAGGAAAAATACTTTCCCAAAAGATAAAATATTATATCCGACTTTTCTCTATTAGAAATTAGCTTTTCTGTTCATGTTTTTCACAAAAATACTTTCGTAGTTAGGTCATAACTTTAAAAACAATTTAACTGCGGAAACAGTACATTTTTCTTCAGGCAGATTCAGCTCCAGTTAAACATTTATCACTATCCAGGTGGATAAGAGTTCAATGTACGTGGAGAAACGTGCGCTTTTCCCGCTAAAAACTAATTTTGTTTTTTTTTTTAGTTAAAAGAAGCTTGTGGGGATTATCGTCTTCAGACATCTTTTTTATTCAAAAAAATATTTTGAAATCGTAAAAAAGCACACTTTAACGCGTAAAAACGCGTGTTTTCATCGATTTAGTCTAACTGGAACGGCTTATTCAACATGACAGTTAGTCAAACATTTTCCTCCATAAGCAATTGAAAAATCTGATTTACAGCTAGAACAAAACTGATATGGATTAGTTTTATATATATCTGAAGAAGCACTGCATTTTTGGACTCTTCGCTCATTTCCTATTGAGACTATAATGTCGTTTCGACTTTGTTGATGAAGTTTTTCCCTTTGTTAGTTGTAGTCGAGTTTTTAGTAGAAGTACTAGATTCTTCAATTATTGCTATTGTTTGTAGATCAGACTCTTCAATATTTGTATTTCACCTTCTTTGGTGAATTCTGAATAAAAATTAATAGCATCATCTATTCAATAAAAGCTTAAATCTAAACTAATTTTATAAATAGGATGTGTCGGTGAAATATGATACACAAAATAGTAAGATAGAGAGAAAAACCCAGTGGCTCATCGGACTTAGTTTCGATTTCGGGGGTGAAAATAAGCATGCGAAACAGAAAAGGTCAAGGCAAACCTAAATTAATAAAAAGAGTGTTTATGGTCGTTGATCAACTCATTAATAATACTCTTCATTTTAATTCTTTACGCAAAAATGACACAAGTTCTATTCAAAAACATAGATCGTTTTAATAAAAAGGCCAATTTGTGACTGGAAAAACTCAAAAATCCAAATGGGGTACAAAATGTGTATCTCAGGTAGGTACAAAAAGGCAAAATGGGGTATTGTACCCCAAAATGGGATACGTATAGCAGCTCTGTTTTGATCAAACATTCTGAAAGTATAAAAGAAAAATAAATGCTGAGTACAAATTATCATTTTTTTTACTGTCGTTAATGAAAAGGAAAGTCATTTGTCTTTTAGGTAGATCGATAGAAGAAAGTACTAAACCTATTGAATCAGTACTAATTTGTTTAAAAATGTTAACTAACAACTGAAATACTATTATAATAGATAGAGAGCATTCGAAATCTGAAACAATCGGAAATCTGTGAAAACCCGAAGAAATCCGGAAAAAATCGAAATCCGGAAAAATCCGGAAGCCGGAAGAGATCCCGAAAAACTTGAAAAATCCGGAAGATCTGGCAACTCTGCTCAAGACATTTTCATCTATTGATAAATATGTTTTATTCATGTTTTCAAAGGACTCGATGTCACAGTGCCAGAACCGTTGCCCACCGACCATTATCTTTCATCTCTCAAGAATTGTTTAATTCTACCTCATTCAGGTAGCAATGATGTAACTTCTCGAATGAAATTGGGCCAACTAAGCGTCGACAATTTATTAAACTTTTTCGATGGGAAACCTATGATTCATGAAATCCTCAGAGATTTAAGACGCAGATGATTCTGATTTCAATCAAATACTTAACTTATATAAATGACGTGAGACGATTTTTTTTTAATCATATATTGTCTATGAAAGCGATATTTTATTAAACTCAATAAATGAAAACAATTCACTCTACAAAAAGTGACTCTCAGTACACGCACGCTACGGATCACAGATATTGGATGGATGGATTGGGGCTGAAATCCATTGGATTGTGCCACCCATGGGTTAACCCTAACCCAAACTAGTGGACTGGACAGAGCATTTAAATAATTTCAACGAGGGGTGACAGAATTCTCACAAGCAGAATTTAAGAATTCTGTATTCTGCATATATTTATCATTATTTACATCCACAATCGGTTTATCTTAATACAATTCTTATAATAATGTAGTAAAACAATAATAACTCTATTATGCATATCCTGCTTGCACTTACCCCTGCTTCGGAATCAAAATTCTGTTTAGAATTATGTTTTTCCAGCAGAATTGTGTTAGAATATTGATTCTCTAGCACAATTTTGCTTCATCATATAAATCTATCTATTCTCAGAAATCAAAATTTTGTTTAGAATTATGTTTTTCCAGCAGAATTCTGTTAGAATTTTGATTCTCTAGCAGAATTTTGCTTCATCATCTGCACTTACCCCTACTCCGGAATCAAAATTCTGCTTAGAATTATGTTTTCCCAGAAGAATTTTGTCAGAATTCTGATTTCCTAGCAGAATTGAGAACCGATTTGAATTATATGTAACAAAATTCTGCATGATTTGAATACCGAGAGGATTTTTTCTTATGACTTCATGATCTTGATCGACTACGTGTACTACGTGATGATGCTGATGAACATACATAAGCATCAGTATCAACATCAACTTCAACATCAACATCAACATTAACATCAACATCAACATCAATATCAGCACGATCATCAATATCAACATCAACATCAGCATTAACATCAACATCAACCTAAATACTAACATATTTGTAAAAAAATGTTCGTCTTAATTCTAAATCGAATGTATTGTTATCATATTTTTAACTGAATCGTGATGTCGATGTTGATGTTGATGTTGAACATGATGTTGATGCTGATGTTGATGTTAATGTTGAAGTTGATGTTGATATCGATGCTGATGTATGTTCATCAACATCATCACATAGTTCACCTAGTCAATGAAGATCACGAAGTCATAATAAAAAATCTTCTCGTCATTCAAATCATGCAGAATTGGGAAATGGACACTTCCTCTCACCTGTTCATTACGAACTCCGGTTGACGTAGTCCGTTACGATCTTCGGACTTAAGAAAAAGCTGCTAGCGCAATCCCTTACGGGATTAAAAATGTGAGACACCATGGATCTGTTGTCACTAATTAAATGGAAATCGTTTTGTTCCATTTCTTTGTGATACATTTGTACCTAACCGTTTATCTGATGCTTTAGAACTACAGTTTCTCTATCACCGTCTGTGATGGATCCAAAGCCTGTCTGTCACGGTCTGTGATGGGACCAAAGCCTGTCTGTCACGGTCTGTGATAGGCGCCAACCCTGTGTGTCAGGATCTGTGATGGGTCCAAAGCCTGTCTTTCACGGTCTGCGATGAGTTCAAAGCCTGTCTCTCAAGGTCTCTGATGGGTCCAAAGCCTGTCTGCCACGGTCTGTGATGAGTCCAAAGCCTGTCTGTCACGGTCTGTGATGGGTCCAAAGCCTGTCTGTCACGGTCTGTGATAGGTCCAAAGCCTGCCTGTCACGGTCTGTGATAGGCGCCAACCCTGTGTGTCAGGGTCTGTGATGGGTCCAAAGCCTGTCTTTCACGGTCTGCGATGAGTTCAAAGCCTGTCCCTCAAGGTGTCTGATGGGTCCAAAGCCTGTCTGTCACGGTCTGTGATAGGCGCGAACCCTGCCTCTCACGGTCTGCAACGGTTAATTAGTTAATAATATACTAATGATTTCATTGAATAAATACTAATTGATCAATTAATTAAGATGACTGTCACGGTCTGTGATTGGTCCAAAGCCTGTCTGTCACGGTCTGTGATGGGTCCAAACCCTGTCTGTCACGGTCTGTGACGGTTAATTAGTTAATAAAATACCAATCACTTAATTAAATAAATGCTAATTGATGAATTAATTAAGATGACTGTCACGGTCTGTGATGGGTCCAAAGCCTGTCTGTCACGGTGTATGTTAGGTCCAAACCCTGTGTGTCACAGTCTGTGATGGGTACAAACCCTGTCTGTCATGGTCTGCGATGGGTCACGTGAGTGTCTGTAACGGTCTGTGGGAGGGGGGGGGGGGGGTTACAAATTTCTACCTCTTAGCACTTCAACACTCCTTTCAGATCGTGTTTCACAAAAATACAGGGTCTTCGGTATGGCAAAAGTCAGTGAAATATTAGGAAAATACATGATGTTCATAACGACATGTTGTCGGAAGATCGTAACGAGCTCTGACAACTGTTTCTTAGTGGTTGAACAGCAAAAATTTGACTGGAGAGCGAAATGAAACAGTCCGGAAGTTCGTAATGACAAATACATGAAGGTCGGAATGAAAACTACAGGATGATCGGAACGAAAATGGTAGGATGTTCGTAACCATATTTAAGTTTACTCAACTTTGAGAGAATATGAAGTGACACATTTGTCTTACATTTTAAGATGGTGCATTAAAGATATCTTGATAAATGCAAACAGTCAAGATTGCTGGTCTTTTTACTATTTTAATTCCAATTGAAGAAAAAAAGAAGAACAAATATTTTATTTTACTTTTAAATCTAATTTATAGTAAATATAGAGCATAGTATCATAAGAAAGAACATGAAATGTATAGAGCAAAATTTTCAATAGTTTTTTTTTCATACGTTTATTTCTTGTACCATCATTTGTACCTTTAACTGGTTTAGCATCACTTGACGTAGTAGGACGGAAAATTGAAAAGAAAAATATAATACATATTAGTACTCTCTTTGTTCAACACAAAAGCAAGATACTTACACATGTAAAACAGATGTACCATCATCATTCTCTTCATTTTCTGATGAATATTTACGTTTTTTAGCACTAATTATTTGTTTCTTCTTCGACTTTGTAACAGTAATAATAGGTCGAGATGATGTGGAGGACGAGGAAGAAAGAGCTGTACGACCATTCGGTATAGCTCTAAGACGATTCAATATGAGAGTTGAACGTAAATAAGATGTAGGAGCAGTGTGTTCGGTTGTTGTTTTCGATAACTGTTTTTCTTGTTGGTTTTTAATTGATTTATTATTTGTCTGTTTCTTTTGTGGTGGTGGTGATTGTGAACGTTCAGCAGATGATGATTGTGAACGATCAATACTCTTATTAGCAGCTGATGATGACGATGTTGTTTTTCTTGATGATAAAACTTGTTTTTGTACACGTGATTGATGGGTCGATGTTGATGTAGAAGAGGAGACTGTTGTTGCTGCCGTCTCTTTTGAACATTTTTGTGTTTCTTTTTGTCGTGTTCCTAATTTTGTTACATCATAATCCACATTAGAACTTTCTCTTGCTACTGCAACATTATTATTTAATAAGCGAGATATAAATTCACATCGTTCTCGAGCAATCAAATATTTTGAATCTTATGCGAATTGAACATAATCAGCAACTATGGGTAATGTTGCTTGTTGTTTCAAATAATTTAAAGCAAATTTAATCAATAATTCAACTTCATCTTCATTTGTATAAATTCGATAATAACCTAAAAAGAAAAGAGGGAAAAATAACATGAAAATTGTTTCTAGCCCACTCATTTTAACTTTCTCTCAATTCATAATGAACTTCAAATAAATAAAATAATAAACAAGAGACTTACCTAAATTTCTCCCTTTTGTAATTTTTGCATATAAATTAAATTCATTTAAATTTGGTTCTTTAACAAGATAATAACGACGAGATGAATCAATTTGGCGTCCATTAACTTTTTTGTATAATGTTCCATTTTCAACACCATCTTTTGTTGATCTATTATTGATATCTTGTACAAATTTGATTAAATTTTCTAATAATATTTCTGATGCTATGCCTGGATAAACTTTCTGATAGAAATCATCATTCAATGCTCCTCTAACCATCTCATCTAAGAATGAAAAAAAGGAAAACAAACGTTATCTTAGATTATCATACATCCTTCTATGTGTTTTCAAGCTTACCATAACTTTTATAATCTCCATCGCTTTTGAAACAAATATTCCAAAATATGATTGGTGTCATTTTCTTATGGTAAAATGATGAATAATCTAATTTTTAATGATGATAATTTTAATTTAAAGAACGTATTAGAAAAGAGTGATAAGAAAAAAGAAACGCTGGAAAGAAATGTTGCTATATCTGAAATTGAACAATAAATTAACAGACAAATACAGCAAGAGAGAAATACAAGTCAAAAAAATCTTTTCAATCATCATCACTATCATCTTTCATTCTTCTTTGATTCTTCTTTAATTGTTTACGCCATTTATCATATTTAACACCGACTAATTCTGACACTGATGTAAGACAATCATCAAGTTCGATTTCACCATCTTCAAATTTTTGATTCAATTCAATAACTTTTTGGTTTATTTCAAAAACAGTATCTCGAACAGTTTTATTAATAGATTTTGTTTTTTCCATTTAACAATTGAAAATGTTTCATACGTACAGCAGTTTCTTCTGTAATCAAAAGCTCAATCAATATCCAAATTGATAAATGACTTTGTTGTGCTCGTCGTTGTAAAACAGCATTATAACCTAAAATAAAAAAAAATATTTCTAACCATTGTTTTTCTCAATCGAAACTCACTTTCAGACCAATTATTTGTTTTAAACTCGACATCATAAAAACTAATCATTTTTCGAATTTTTAATTTCATCCATTGTTTTTCAAAGTAAAGCATAAATTTTGTTAATTGAACACGAAATTGTTTTAATTGGTTCAATTTTAAGTATTGATTGGCTAATAATTCATATGCATTACCAATTAATAGTGGTTTAAGTAATACAATAGCCATAACTTTTTTTTATAAATAAACGAAGTTCATTATTATTCTTGTAATAAGCATATAAACCAATTTTTTTCAATTTCTTTGTTAAACGTTGATACAAATGAAATAAACAACATTGATGAGCTGTATTTGGAAGCTGGAAAGAGAAAAACAAAGAACAAATACAGGAAATAAATTCTCTGTTCCTATCAACGTACAAGCAAACATTTACTTCTTTTTTTATTGTTGAAACAATTCCAGATTCAAAATCACTTATTATTTTGTCGGGTTCGAATTTCATTTTCATTTCTTTTGCTGTACTTTTTAATGCTCGAAATAATATTGTGTATGTGCGAGCTTTCTTATCATTCAAAAGAACATAAAGTACAGGTGTTGCTAGAAGTAAAAAGGAAAAAATAAACAAAGAAAAGAATATATAAACATTTACCATCATAATTTTTTTGATCGATGCTTTGAATAATTAATAATTGTTTATATTGTCTTGGACAAATTGAAAACGTACCATCGATGCATATTAATTTTGAAGTAAACAACATTTTAAGCTGCATTGGACTTGCAAAAGCTATAATTCTTTTGGTTTGTTTAGAATATAGATGATCAAAATATATGAATTTTTCATCAGATGAAGTAGTTGAAAATGCAGCTGGAATGTCGAAGTTTATAGATTTTGGAAGTGGTGGAATTGTTTTACTTCTAGCACGATAGATACTTTTTTCTAAACCCAAAAAAAGGTAAACAAATTTACAGTAAGACAGAAATAAATGTTTTACTAACTTACACAATGCACATCGACGAGGAACTATACCGAATTGTGTTTCAGTTAATTTCATAGAAGTGGCTAATTGATTAATTATTTTTGATGAAGGTAGAGTTCGATTATTTGTTCCAATATTTTTTAATTGTGATTTAAAAATTTCAACTTTTTGTTGATCATGATCTTCATCATGTGAATGTTGAATATGATTTGAATTAATATATTTATAAGCTGGTATTTGATCAGTTCCCACATTTTCCGTTGTATAGATTTTTGCTCCACATCTTATTTTATTTCTGCTATGTTTCCATTTCCATTTTATTTTATTTTTCATTCGTCGATCAATTTGATATGTGTAGCCGTGAAGGCAGAGAAAATCACCACTTTTTGTGCTTTTATAAACTGAAATAGCTCCAGCTTGAGGAAAACGATTTGATTGTTCAGAGGAGGAGGTGCCGATAGATGAGAAAGAATTTTTATTGTTACTGATTTTTAGTTTATTCATATTTTTAGCTATTGATGATATTGTTGTAGATATGGATGAGTGAGAATCTGATGATGACGAAGATATAGTACTTGAATCAGATGAAGAACAAGAGGAATCAGCATAAGATGAAGATGATGAAGAACGAGAAGAGCTGATAGAAGATGCAGATGAAGAATTAGATGATGAAGAACGTGCACGTGTAATTGTCTCGCAATCACTGAAAATATAGAAAAATAAACAAATCATATTGACTATTTTCTATTGGAAAAGAGTGGGGAAAAGCATAGAAGAATACTTACGTAAATGATATAGTATTACTAACATTATTATTACGTAAGATTTTCTTAGATAATTTTGAACAAGAACGATGAATAGGATTAGGAGGTGAAGGTGATTGTGCTCTTTTTTGACGTTTTATTAACTGGACGACTACGAGTTGATGATTTTGGTTGTTTGTTTATTTTATATGTAGATCTTAAAGCTGCTGCTGGTGATGCAGCAACCGAACTTTGACTACGATTGATAACCATTAAGAATATTTGAAATTAAAGTAAATGTAGATTCAAACGAGGAAAAAGATTCTATTCATTTGAATTCTTATCTAGAAATAAGAAATAACAGCAAAGTACACTTTCTTCTTTATGATAAAATATTTTTGGAGTCTATAATCTTCACTTCTTTATGAGAACTTAGTCTGGTTTATCTTCAATACTAAATTGCTTGTACAACCAATCATATCTGAACGAAAAGACTTTGGTACATACACTATATAGTTAGACATGTTAGCCGATCTTTTAATCGGCGGCGGACAAATCACGCCGAGGAAGGCATCTTCGGCGGCGGCGGTGAAATTTTTCGAAAGTCATTTTACCAAGTCTTTTGTTGATTCCAACCTTTGTTACAAACGTTACACTTTCTGTTTTCATAGAAACATATCGTTATCTCCCCTTTCGCACATGGGTCTCTTTTTATATTAAAAACATTTCGCTATACTTCAATTTATTGTCATCAATTCAAGAAATTGTTTCTGTATTAATGATGATGACAACAGGACATCAGGATGCTTGACGAGTTGTTTGTCATAGCAAACCTTGCAATAAATATTCTTGTTATCAATCACTTCTTTCGTAACTGATGATGTAAGATGACCGAAATATGACCACGCAAGAGATTGACTGGCCTTGAAAGGACGGGGTTTGACGTGAACATCTCGAACATAATGCGTCATCCTAGCGGATAGGTATGTATTTCTTCGCTTGTTAGATACAATACAATGATAGCAATAATGTTATTCGTGTGAAGGGAAGTGTAATGTGAAGCGTCTATTTATACCCTTTTGACCATATTGTTCTAACTCCAAACTTGATCAGCGGCGGCGGCGGAAAAATTCTCGCCGAAGCGCCACCTTCGGCGGCGGCGAGTCGAAATTTTATCGGCGGCGGCGGCTAACATGTCTATATATAGTGTTTCATTTGTACAGAAGCCACCGCCATCTATCAATATTATGAATACATTAAGAGACGACAGTTAGAAACAACTTTTATAGTTACTAAAGTATACAGAACAGCGATAGAGACAGAAAAATGTCTCCTGATATAATTATGAATGTGCTAAGTAAATGAATGCTTTTCTTCTATAGAAAAACAGAAATAAAAGTCTTTATATCCGTTACGATCTTCCAGTGAATCTTTTTTTACGAAGTGCCGGTCAATGTTATTCCGGTCATCCGGTTGTTTTTTTTGTAAAATTCATTATTCCGAACATCTGACCTTATTCATTACTATCTTCGGACCTGCATCAGATATATCAAGAAATATTCTATTCCGAATATCCGGTCAAACCATTCCAATTTCCCTGCTTTTCTATTACGATCTTCTGTCCACGAATGTTTACGAACTCCAGTCAAGGAAAAATTCATTTCCGAACATCCGGACACATGTCCGGAGTTCGGAATGAGGTGAGACGAAGTGTCCTTCACCCGCAAAATTTTGTTACATATAATTCAAATTGGTTCTCAATTCTGACACAATATGAGAATTCTGAGAAAAATCTGCGGGAAATACAAAATTCTAAGCACAATTTTGGTGTATATCCACATATAAGTGTATATGATGAGACGCAATTCTGCTAGGAAATTAAAATTCTAACAGATGTACATGATGAAACTATGATGAAACACAATTCTGCTGGGAAGTCAGAATTGTAACACAATTCTGCTGCAAAAACATAATTCTAAGCAGAATTGTGATTTTCATAGAGGGACATGTGTATATGATGAAACACAATTCTGCTAGGGAATCAAAATTCTAACAGAATTCTGCTGGAAAAAACATAATTATAAGCAGAATTTTGATTCTGAAGCAGGGAAGAGAGTATATGATGAAGCACGATTCTGCTGGGGAATCAAAATTCTAACACAATTCTGCTGGGAAAACATAAATCTAAACAGAATTTTGATTTCGGAGTAGGGGTAAGTGCAGATGATGAAGCACTATTCTGCTAGGGAATCAAAATTCTAACAGAATTCTGCTGGAAAAACATAATTCTAAGCAGAATTTTGATTTTATAGCAGAGATAACCATATAAAATGAAGCACATAAGCGTACAAGGAAAACTGAATCAATTAGCAGAATTCTGAAATTCTGCTTGGGATGAATTCTGCCACTGCTGATTTCAACCCTGACCCATCCATCAAAATTTTAAGATAAATTTTGTCGATTAACCGATGACATAATTTATATTTTTAAGGAATGATTTACAAGAAGATTTGTCCAATACAGATATCGTCACGATAAGGCACAGATGATCAATCATCTCCTCAATACTTATCGTTTTGTCGAATGATCAAGTGTGACACACATAAAGCGCATTTCATCTTATTTTTTCTCCTCGTCTCTCTTCTTTTTTTCTTCCGAAGTGTTGCTTCTTATGGGTTTCATTTTATAATGAATATTCAAAATAATGACACCCAATTGAAATAGATCAATCAGTTGTTTTTTGAAAGAATAGAAAAAAGACAAACTATATATTGCCTTTTTATCAGCTTACTTTCATTATGAATATTTGTTAAAAATTGAACTTGACAGTGAATAAGTGTCAAATACACGCCCAAACTTATAAACTATTATTCTTATTTTTTTTTTTGTCAATTCGAATTCCTTATGGCTTCGATGAAATACATCGAACGTGAGTTGAATGAAAATTTGTTCGTGAAAATCAGCAAGTTATTGTAAAATGTTGAATACTTTATCGTGATCGATTTAGTCGAACATCATAAGCTTCGTTTAGTTTTGGTTTTTCTTCTACAATTTATAAAGATTGTTCCGGAGGTTAATAAGAGCTCCTCTCAGAAAAAACTAATTTCGTTCAAATGTATCCATTTTGTGATTTATACCTCGTTGGATTGAGTAATGTGTCTACTCTCGAACGCATTATAGTTTATTGATTTTATAATGAGGTTTAAGAATATTACATAGACTTTTCTGAACCCTCATATAGGAAAATAACGTTTTTTTCTAAAACACTTCAGTTTTCATGTTTCCCTGTATCCCAGATTTATTCGTCATTTTAAGCGCTAGACAGCTCGGCTTGATGTCAAAATGAAGGCAAAAGTTAGCTCTATAACTTAACAGAGCTCGGTTTTTTGATTTCCCCATTAATATTTATAAAAAACTAGGGTGTGGGTGTAGGTGCTCACGTTACCTTCATTCACACCCTCACCCACACCCCCACACCTCCACACACCCCCACACACCCGCACCCGCACCCGCACCCACACTCACATCCTTCATTACATACTTTGTATCTGGGTATATTTAAGAAACTATGCTTGTTACTATTTTCCAAGTCCAAAATTTGTCGTCAATAAAACTGGCCGTTGTATAATAAGATTACTAGTATTGACCAAGAATTAGCTGCTATTAAAATTCATGCTACTAGAGCTCGACGAGTTCGGTCAATAAAACAGATTAAGCGTTTTAAAGCTAATGAGTTTAGATCTTTGATGCACCATGATCAACAATATTATTACGAGAATTGTTACCAAAATATCGTCGTCATTTTGCATTACTGTTAACTGCTGTTAATCTAGCTTCTAAAGATGTGAATCAGAATAATGATATAATTTGGGTTGAAGAATTATCGCATCAGGATATGAAAGATTGGCAGAAGATATTTGGCCATCGTCATATGTCTTCTAATGTACATTCACTATTACATATTCATGAATCAATAGCATTTCTTGGTCCACTTTATATGTATAGCACTTTTAATTTTGAAGGTTAGTATGCTAACAAATACTTAGATAAAAGTTAATAAATATGATATTCTTGTTTTTTCATGAATAGTCCTAAGCACTATGTCGGTCACTGACTCCCAGGTCGAACAAGCACGGTCGTAAACGACCGTATACGGAGCAATACGATCGTATACGGATGAAAAAACGGTCGTTTACGGAGATAGTAAACGGAGGTCGTATACGATCTCCGTTTTGCTCCGTTTTTCTCCGCATACGGTTACGGAGATATACGATCGTAATACGATCACATGTATTACGGCAAAGCACGGTCGTAAACAATCGTATTTTTCCCGTATACGGTCATATACGATCGTTTACGAACTCCGTAACGTTCGACCTGGGAGCTGTGCCAATTGTAATTAAAATTTTACATTAGCAATCAAAATTATATAAAGTAATCCTGTTACTTTTAAGTCATTGATGATGTTTTGATTCATTCATAGCAACGTCAAAAAAGCTAAATTCTCAGATATCGACAAGGATAAAAATTAGTTTCAAAGCGACTATGACTTAACTATTCTTTCATGTATAAATCTTTTCATTTTTCATGTATTATATTAACAAAAAAATATGAATTTAATACTTCTTTTCGTTTATTTAAAGAAAAAAAACTTTTCATATTTATCTTTATTGACGTTTTGAAGGTATCGGTCATGATCTGGTATATATGACTCATAGTATGACACACTATGGGCAGCAATTATATCACATATGCAATATTATCGACAAGCTATAATAAATATGTTTAAATCTGGATATTCAGAGAAACTTTTTGCTTTTAACGACAGTGTTCTTAGTCGAAAATTATTATAAAATCAAGGTATCCGTGTGCAACAGCAAGTGCCCTCTACGCATTATATCGAAGAAAAGAAGCATTTGGACCTAATTACCACCAGAGAATTCTCGTTTCATGATGCATTAGTCATCGATCATGTCAAATATAAAACTTTATCATCTATAAAATCTGATAAATTCGCTGATTGCTATGTGGGTGAATCCGCCGGGTTTCTACCACTTTTGTGGAAAA